GAGACCAGGGCGCACGGAGGAGGCGCAGGGCGCACCGAGGCCATGTTCACCAGCTCCTCGCGGGGGGCCCCGGGCCCGGCGGGGCGCGGCGCGGCGGGGGCCAAGCTGAGCGTGGACGAGCTGTACGGGCTGCCGACCGCGAAGAAGGGCAAAGGCGGGCGAGGCGAGGGCGGGCGGCGGCGCAGCCAGGGGAGCGCGGCGGGCCGGGACCCGGCTCTCACCCCGGGCCAGCTGCTGGAGGCGGCGCGGCGGCTGCTGGAGCGCAGGCGGCTGGAGAGCTACCTGCTGGAGGCGGGGCTGCCGGCCGAGGAGCTGCAGAGCAACCGCCCCGCCATGGGCTACAGGTAGGGGGCGCTGCCGGGGTGGGGACAGCGGAGAGGGGCAGGGTGAGGGGGGTCCTGGTAGGGGAGCCCCAGAGCAGGCTGCGGGCGCGGGGTACCTGAGGGAGGTGTCAGTACAGGGGGCACGGGGGAAGGTACCAGCGCAGGGTACAGGGGGCACCAGGGGAAGTACCAGTGCAGGGTACAAGGGGCACCAGGGGAAGTACCAGCAAGGGGTACAGGGGGGAGGTGCCAGCGTGGGGCACGGGGGCACCAGGGGAGGTACCAGTGCAGGGTACAAGGGGCACCAGGGGAAGGTGCCAGTGCAGGGCACAGGGGGCACCAGGGGAGGTACCAGTGCAGGGTACAAGGCGCACCGGGGAAGGTACCAGTGCAGGGTACAAGGGGCACCGGGGAAGGTGCCAGTGCAGGGTACAAGGGGCACCAGGGGAAGTACCAGCAAGGGGTACAGGGGGGAGGTGCCAGCGTGGGGCACGGGGGCACCAGGGGAAGGTGCCAGGACAGGGCACAGGGGGCACCGGGAGAAGGTACCAGTGCAGGGTACAGGAGGTGCCAGGTCAGGGGACACTGAGGGGAGGTGCCAGCGCAGGGTACGGGGGGACCCTGCAGCTCCCCCACCCGCTCCCTCCACACTGGGGGCTCTGTGCACCCCATACCTGGACCCCCATTTTTCGGGCTACAAGGTCCCGGTAACACCCCCTGGGGGCAGCTGTGTTCCATGTCCTCGTCGGGGCCCCCCCAAAAGCCATGCTGGGTGGCCCTATGCAAACGAGGCTTCCCTATGCAAAGGAGCTGGGGTGATTTGCATAAGGGTACCACCAGGGAAGGAGCAAAATCTCCACAGGCCTCCGGCTTGTGCTCCCCACACACAAGGGGACAGCTCCCTTGACATGGCAACCAGATTCTGGGGGTTGGGGAGCAGAAACAGGCACGTTCGCAGGGGCCAGCAGTGAATCAATGAGGGACCTCCAGCTCTTTCTTCTGCATACGCCCCAACGAGGGCGAAGTCCAGGCATTAAGGATGTCCCTTTCACCTTAACTCTGACCCCCTCCTATGCATTTGGCTACAGCCCCTCATCGGCTGGGATTGAGGCTCTAGAACCCTGGCACAGACCCCTTTCCCATGAGCTTGGAAGGGGGTTGGTCACAATAGAAGGTTGTTATCCCATGTGCAGACCCCAGCCTTGCGGCAGATGCCTGGAAGCAGGGTATGTGTTTGTGAGATGGCCCTGGAATGTCTGGAATCTGGACTGGGTTCTTAGCCTCCACTCTGGGAGGGGAGTGGGGTTGAGTGCAGTAGAGTGGGGGATGCTAGGAGCCAGGACTCCTGGGTTCTCTCCCCGGCTCTGGGAGGGGCGTGGGATCTGGTGCTTAGAGGAAGGGGGGCTGGGAGCCAGGACTCCTGGGTTCCATCACCAGCTCTTGGAGGGGAGTGGGGCTTAGTGGGTGTACAGAACAGGGGCTAGGAGTCAGGGGGAGCACCCTTGCTGGTCAGTGCTGTGTGAGACCCCATGTGCCCCCAACATACACACACACACACCTCATGCTAATCCCTCGCAATCTGTCCCTGGACTGAGCCGAGATGAATGTGGCCCCACCAGCTGGTGTCCTCTGCTTCCTGCCACGGAGCCTAATCAGGGGAGACAGATGCGGGCACCGCCCCCCCTCCCCCCAGCTGGCAGGGCCATTCCCCCACCTCCCAGCTGGGCCCATAATCCTCCAAAGGTAGCTGTGACCACCAACCAAAACAGCTCCGATTGGGCTGGGACCCAGGACTCCTGGGTTCTCTCCCCGGCTCTGGGAGGGGAGTGGGGGCTGGTGGGTTAGAGCAGGGGGGCGGTCGGGAG